GGGGGGGGGGGGGGGCGGGGTGTGTGGAGCCGGGAGGGCAAGTGGCCTGGGCGTCTGGACTGGTTCCCGCCCCACAGCTGTTCTGAGGGGCGCGTCCTGTCCTGGGCTCTGTTGTGTCTCGGACGTGGGGTCCGCAGATCCCAGACAGCAAAGGTGTGGAGGAGAAAGAACACACGCAGGACGCCATTGCTGTCCGCCAGGGATGAGCTTGAAGCGGGAGTGGCGGCGGGCACCCGGCAGGGCAGGGAGCGCGGAGGGAAGTCCCGAGCTGGGTTCCGGCAGCGTGAGGACGAGGGCGCTCCGTTCCTCTAAAGTACGGGTTCCTGGGGACCCCGTGTGAGAGGAGCGGAGAGGGCGCGAGGGAGTTCGCTGTGGGCACAGCTGGCCTCGACCTGCACCGCCGCCGCCGCCGCCGGAAAGGGACACGGGCCTGGGCTTTGGGAGTTTATTTTTCCTCACGGCTTCCGGGGACTCGCTGTGCTGCAGAAAGACGAGGCTGGAGGCAGCCGCTGGCCTGGGCAGCCCAGGGGACCATAGCCCGGGATGCGTCCTGCGGAGCCGGGCGGGGGTCCACGGCCACGAGGGATGAGAACAATTTGGGTAGCGATTCTATCCTTAGGAACGAAGAGAAGACGCGAAAACTTAGTTACCCTGGGTTGTGTTGTTTGGGAAGGAGCATGCTCGCTCCGGAAGAGGGCTGGGGCCAGGTCACCGCGTGGGCCAGCGCGCCCTCTACCGGACAGAGGGGTCAGGGCCTGCCACCAGGTCTTCGTAGTCCGTCTGCATCGCCTGGGCGAGTACAGACAGCAGTAATACAACGTGTTTATAATAATAATTTACAAGACCTGTGATAATTTCTACTTTTTTTTTTATTAAGAACTGCATGACTGTCATGACTTCTTATCACAGAGTCTTTGTGAAGCAAGTTATAAACATATGACACTAAAGTCCTAATACTCTACCTCGGGGTGAAACTGAGTCCAGGGTGGGTGACAGGACTGCTCCTAGGTGCAGCGGGAGAAGTGTCAGCCCGAGTCGCCATTCAGAACCCCCTAGCCGGGCACGGTGGCGTATGCCTGTAATCCCAGCACTCGGGAGGCTGAGGCAGGAGGATCGCTGTGAATTCGAGACCAGACCGGACTACATAGTGAGTTCCAGGTCAGTCTCAACTACACAGTGAGACCCTGTCTCAACAAACAAACAAACAAACAGACCCCCAAAACCAAACCAAAGTAAAAACAGAACCCCCTCAGACAATCCCTTGGGCACATGCGAGATGCCTGAGACAGCCCCTCACAAAACTTCCGGACTTGATGTTTTAGGGTCCTTTGTTTCGGCGTATTTTTTGTGAAGGCCGGAAATGAAGGAATGAAGGAAACGAATTGGCAGATCCTGGGAAAGAGCCTAGGGAATTATAAAACCAAACCAAACCTCAGTCTCTCTAGAGGGGGGACAGAAGGGCTGGTTTTGGCTTTTGTTCGTTTGCAGTCCTGTGAGTTCCATGGAGTGGTCAACATACAACAGTGAATATTTAAATTTATTTGTTTTTTTGCCATGAATCCTCACGAACATCCTCCCCCTCACTTTAAACACACGTAGCCCATCATTCTCAACACTCTGAGGCAGCTCTGGAGTCCTCTTTCGAGAGTGTCTTCAGGAGGTATCGTCAAGTACATGGCGATCACAGCTGTGCAGATCGCCGACCGGCACTCAGTGCTCTGTCCTCATCCACCTGATCCACCGGATCTGCCACGTGCAACTGTTGGCTCTTCCCCAAATTCAGGGTGTGCTTGAAAGGCAAACAGCTGAGTCCATCCAGGACATCAAGGCAGCCACAACAGCACAGCCCAGAAAGAGGATTTCTGGAACTACTTAAGAAAGTGGCAGGAACAGGTGGGGTTAAGTGTGTTTGAAGTGAGAGCAGTGTATGGAGGTATTAATGGCGATGTGCCTTTTACACTAAGATATATTTTACACTTGATCTTAGCCAAAAGGCCGAGAAGCGATTAAGATATATTTTAAAGTTAAGCATTTACCATATTTTTCTATCTCACACTTTATGTATTTATAGGCAGGGCAGTGGTTGAAGTCTAGCATAGGGTCTAGTTTTTCTTTGGTGTTTTTTTGTTTGTTTGTTTGTTTGGTAGAATGCCCCGCAAAATTAGGCTGCTTCTTGATTCTTTCCATTTTGAGATAAAGCCATAATCTGTTACTTTGCGATGGCTGTTTTAGGGAATCATGCTATATAACAGGTGCCTCTAGTTTTTTGGCATTAGAAAGCTTCAGTGTACTAGAAAAACCACACTTTGAGCAGTGAATCCGTTTAGTTATAAAATGCAGAAAACAGTACTTGCCTAAAAATTTGGTAGCTTTCTGCTAATATGTAGATATTTTATCAAACATTATAGTTGTGAGTTGGAAAGCACCCTCTATCTCTTGTGCCCCCAAATAGCAATGGCAGTGTCTATGTTCGGATTACAGATCACATGCAGGGCCTCAAGATAGAAAAGACTACTCCCTCCTTCCTGCCTTCCTCTCTAACTGCATATAATTTACTTACTTGTCACAAATAGTTGGTGTAATCAAGTATTAAAATAAAATTTCCAATTTCTAGTATGTCTATTATTTACACACTTATATAGAATGTGCTGTACATTTATGTTTCTGTTATTAACACATTAGCGGAGTCAGTGTTTTTTCTTTTTACTAAAAACATCTCAATTATTTCCAGTCAAAATACAGAACGATTCTTTCTCTCGGGTTCTTCACTTTGTACTCACACAGTGCCTGGAAATTAGTTACCATCCAGTCTGGAATGCGAGAGGGACGGTCAGCTATCAAAGGTACACCGGATGCTACAGTGTCAGTCAGCTAGTTATGTTTCAGGGCTCCCAAGTCAGCCTTTTGAGCGTCCCTGTCAGAAATGGAGTCAATCAGAATTTTCCTGTGTGTTCCAGAAAGCAGTATTCATCCCTGACATTGCAGGGTGGGGTTTTTGCTCCTCCCTTGCCCTACCCTTTCCTAACACCTCTCAGAGCTGCAGAGTGCTCCTACTGGGCTCCCAGTCCCTACCTCACCGCCTGGTTCCATTGCATTGCTGCTGGGAGGGGTTGCTCCTCTCACCTAAAGCTTTTACAATTTAAAAACCTCTGGATGAATAGAATCCATTGAAAATGACTGGAATAGGAGGCTTAGCTGGTGGCTTTAGATTATCTACTATAACTATATTCACTGTTTTTTTCTGTCAGATAGCTTATGGCCTTGTGAGAAAGAATCAATGAAAAGAAAAGGAAAAAAAAAAAGAAGAAAAACCTCTGGTTGCAGTTAATGTAATAATTAAATGGAAACTGTATGTTTGAGTTGCAGTTGGAATAGGAAATTAAATTATGCAAAAAAGTGTTATAGATTTGGACAAGTTTCCATACTGTTAATAAATCTATGCATAATTCATTTTCTTGTAGGCTATGATAAAATAGCATAAATAACTTCATTTGTAAGGCTGCGAATTTTTCTAATCTTAATTAGGTGATGGCTAAAACCATTTAAATGCTTCTGGATGACTGAATATATAAATATTTAAAATGGGCAGTTATAATAGGTTTCTAGGTAGATTTGTTTATTTAATATTACTACATTTATTTTCAGATACTAGCATAGCACAGATGTTGCATCAAGATTGCACCCGTTATGGTGTGAGTTTGGTGCGGTTTTAAAGAAAAAGACATTACCTCTACTCATAGAGAGAGCACTCTGATACTCACGCCGAGGTACTCACTGTACCCCTTTCCAACGTTTCCCTGCATTCTCACAATACACCTAAAGGCAGGTATCTAAGCCAGTTCACCTGATGGGGAAACTGAGGCTCAAAGACCTTAGAAGTTAGTCCAGAGCTGGGGCTGAGCCAAGGATTTTGGGTCTCTAAGGCTCACACTCTTTCTGCGACCCGCAGCCTGCACACTGCAGTGCACACCCAGTGGAGGGTAGCACTGAGAGACAAGGCTGCTGCAACGGGAGGGGGTTTCTTACTGGAGCAGGCAGTGCCTGAGCAACTGCACACCTGTTCCTTGCAGTAGCCTTGCAGTGGACAGGGCTTGTGCCCAGGAGCCCACTGATGGGCTTCGCAGTCTTCACTGTGAGATCCATGTGGGGACCAGAGCCCACCACAGATGGTGTAGTCACTTGTGGCTGCCTTGCAGGAGTAGAGGACAAGCAGGGTACATGGCACAGTGGGATTATGAGGTCCTGAGCTACCTGCACCCCCACCTTGCTCCAGATCTGCAATTCTTGGAGACCGTGGTCACCAACAGATGAGTTAATACTGGCGCATTTCTGCAACCATAGTGCATGCACAGTGATAGCTCATTAGGACGGTGTTTCTAGATTAGCTGATCAGCGGACCAGCTGTCCTCATCCCGTAGACCCCTGCTGGTTCTTAAGAAAGGCACAGAACAGAGGTGAAGGCTTCTGGCTTCGGTGGAACATTAGTTAGTCTAAGCCCCGCATGTGAGCTCACAGGATTGCATGAGCAATGAGGGCAATCACCTTGTAGCACACCTGGTACACCGTGGAAGCTCAACACTTGAGAGCTCTTACTTTTATTCTTCAGCCCCCGCCAGACTCCTCACCTGCCTCTAGGAGGATGAATTTGAGTCAGTGTGGCATTTTGGGGACAGGCACGGTGTCAGTGCCCTGTCCTGTGGTCCACAATCGAGGACAGGTGAAGACGAGGAGCCCTCCGGGGGGTTCCTTTGCCGTTGCTAAGGGTCCACTCTTTCACCCCTTAGGGGAATGATCGCCAGTCTAAGTCAACAATCGGATCCAGCGACAGCTCCTCGCCTCAGTCTCTGAAGAGGAAAGGGAAGAAAGACGAGGGGAATTCAGAAAAACCCACAAAGGCGAAACAAAATGTGAAGTCGAAGAATTCACAACGAACAATTCTTAACAGTGGTGAGTTTGTCACTGTTGTATTGCTGCTGCTGGTTATTCTTATTTTAGACTTTTAGTGATACAATTTTAATCCTTAAATCATTTCTTTGGGTCCCTGAAAGATGCTCTTATGGCCATAGACGGTGATGTTGTTTGTGAAGGTGATGTTTTACCTAGGCAGGGGCCTGCTGATTTTCAGGCTTAGTTCCCCTTTGTAATTAGGCCAAATGAATGACCTCCATGCTTTGAAGTCACTTGTTTTGAGGTCAAGTAATTCTTGAGGTGCTCTTATTTAGAAAAGATAAGACTTGCCGTCCTCTGCTCTTACTGATAGTGCCCGATTCTCATCTTGCCCGTCTACTCTTTTTTTTGTTTTTGTTTTTTTTTATTGAGTTTATTGGTACATTTTAGGGATACAGTACAGTTACATTCATTGTTGGGATCATGTACCTTTACATGGCAAATCTTGATTCTCATTTTTTTCCCCTTACCTCTGCCCTCCCTTCACCCCCTCCTCCCCTCCCCATCTACAAACACTTTATTTTCATCTTTTCATTCTCTCACATTTTTTTCTTTTCCCTTTTTGTTCTTCCCCTACGTATCACACCTTCCCTACACCTTTAGCTCCTTTCCTCCCATTTCTAAATGTCAGTAATCTTATTAGAATCTTATGCATTGTTGCAGAATATTCACACCAGGGAAACTATTTGGTATTTACACATGTGTGACTTATTTATTTCACTTAGGAGTATATCTTCAATATGTATCCATTTTCCTATGAATGAATCTATTCTCTCGCTCTTTATGGCTGAGTAATATTCCATTTTATAGAAAAACCACAACTTCTTTATCCAGTTTCCAACGGATGGGCAAATAGGTTGTTTCCAAGATTTAGCTATTACAAACTGTGCCGCTATAAACATGGGTGCACATACTTCTCTGTGATATGATTCTTTTAGTTCTCTTGGAAAGATACCCAACAGAGGGATGGCTGGGTCAAATGGAACCTCCAGTCCAAGCTCTTTGAGGTATCTCCATATTGATTTCCATAGTGGTTGCACTAGTCTGCACTCCCACCAACAATGGAGGAGGGTTCCTTTCTCCCCACAACCCCGCCAACATTTGTTATTGTGTGATTTCTTGATAGCAGCCATTCTTTGTGGGGTGAGGTGGAATCTCAGTGTTGTTTTCATCTGCATCTCTCGAATGACCAGTGATGTGGAACATTTTTTCATATATTTTCTTGCTGCTTTCACTTCTTTGTATGAGAAATGTCTGTTCATTTCGGATGCCCATTTTTGGATCGGGTCTTTATATTTGGGGGGACTGATTGTTTTGAGTTCTTTATATATCCTTGATAATAGTCCTTTGTCTGAGGTACAGCTGGTAAAAATTTTTTCCCACATTGTAGATTGTCTCTTAGTTCTGCTAATGGTTTCTTTTGAAGTACAGAAGCTTTTTAGTAAGATGAGATCCCAGTTGTTGATTCTTTCTGCTAGTTCCCGTGCTACTGAGGATTTGTTCATAAAGTCTTTTCCTATACCAATGTCTTCCAGAGTTCTACCTAACTTACTTTCCAGCAAGTTTAATGTTTCTGTTTTAATATTTAGATCTTTAATCCATTTGGATTTTAATTTAGTGCATGGCGAAAGATAAGGGTCTAATTTTAATCTGTGGCAGGTTGATATCCAGTTTTTCCAACACCATTTATTAAAGAGGCTATCTTTCCTCCACTGAGGATGGTGAGCTCCTTTGTCGAAGATGAGGTAGCTGAGTACATCTGCATTTGTTTTTGTGTCTTCCAGTCTGTTCCATTGATCCTCAGGCCTATTTCTTTGCCAGTACCATGCTGTTTTTATCACAGTGGCTTTGTAGTATAGTTTCAAATTGGGAATTGTTACACCTGGTGCCATGTGACTGTAGCCTATAATTTGCCCGTCTACTCTTGCCACTGGTCTCCTTCGTTAGTGGATCTGAAGCCCTGGCCCCCACGCACTGTGATTTGCTTTTAGATCCTGTTGGCTTTTCTTGAATAAAAACTGGTACCCAAGAGCATACTAAATACACAGAAACTTTACTAGTAAGCAATAGCATCTCCATCAAAACGAATCACATAGCTGTACCTTGCACTGGCAGGCGAGAGATGGTGTAAACTTGTGAGACATTTGCATTCGCCTGAGATTTCACTCCGGTGAGCTGACAGCGGGGTGAACCTATGAAGTTCACTGGACACACAGATATTCACTTCGGGTCTTGGCAAAGAGGGGCTGGTTTCGGTTCCATTCCCAGTATGTTTTTAGTGGGGTGCACTTGTCAGGGTGGAGTGAAGCTGGCTGGCTGGAAACAGACCGGTGCTTTTTCTACCCTGTGGTGCCTGGGAGAGGAGGGATGGGGTGACGCTCCAGAGTCTGGATCAACCCTTGCTTCCAACCTCAGAGCCACAGCTGATGTTAAAGAACAGGCACAGAGTCATGCTTGCCACAGCTCAGGGAGACTGACGAGCTAGAAGAAAGGTGTTCCTGTCTCCGTTAAGAGGGAGGGGTTTACATCTCTAGTGATGCAGATTAGCCAGGAATCAGGTGTCTTAGAGATTCTTGTCCTAGCTTGGCAGTTGACCTTGGGCAACCCTCTTAACTTTTTTGGGCCCATTATCTACCTTTAATATGTGGGTTCATATTTGTTCTATCTTTAAAATTTTGCTTGTCATTTAAATCTGTACCATTTTTCAGTCACTAGGAAACCAGGGTGAAATACAGGTAACAAATTTTTATTGAGTGACTATTATGTGGCAGGAATCAAAGAAAAGGAGTTAGCTTGGAAGAACCTGCTAACTTTGAGCTTTAAAGGTATTCAAGTCTTGCTAGCGAGGTGTTGTATCCCTGTAATCAGCACCCATGGAAGGCTGAGGCATGAAACGTTCAAGTCCAGCCTGAGCACCTTAGTGGCTAAGCAAGACCCTTGTCTCAAAATAAGAAAATACAAAAGGACTCAAGACGTAGCTCAGCATGAAGGCTCTGAGTTCAGTCACAACTAGTACACACACCCATACACACACACACACACACACACACACACACACAAAAGAGGCTTCATGTTAGTGTATATTAGACAGTGAAACCTTCAAGGTCATGTGCGATGTCTTGGTAGCTTTTTTTCCTTTTTAAAAAACCCCGATCACGGGAACGGGTCAAACAGATATGAGACACTTAATAAATGTTGAATGAACGAATGATGGAAGTTAAAAAATAGATCAGTTCTGGTAATACTTTAAAACCTGCTAAGAACAGGACCCATTTAAAACTTTCATGAATTATTGATTAAAAAGCTTATAGATATGTTATTTGCTTCTTGTCTGTAAGGCTCTTATTAGCTTGTGGAAATCTCAATTCCTATTCCAGTATATTTTTTAAAAGTCTCTGGATTTAGTAGTCATCTCTGGGAAGAAGGGAAATGATCATCTTCTTTTGCTATATTGTTTTCAGAGACTTGGGAACACAGACACATTAACATTGCCCTTTTCCATAGGGAAGCCATCTCTTTTAGCAAGCATTTTTGCTTTTGTAGAAATTCACAAATAGTTTTCAACAATATTTGCATCTGTGGGGATGAAAATAATAAAAGTACAGTTAAGATTGAAGCCAATCATTTAAAGTGCCAAGGTAGCTCCTCCCAATGATTCTTTCCTGGGCTTGAGAGAATCTGCAGTTGTTTTAGATAATTGCCCATCGTAAGTGGGTGTTTTCCAATGGAGCTTTGTAATGTGTAGATTATAGGTTTTAAAATTGCCGGAACAACTGCTGGTGCCTTTCACATGAAGGTTTCAGGGACTGATTTTTTTTTTTCCCAGTAAGGAACTTGTACTACTGACCTAGAAGTCACAGTTAAGAGTGTAGACACAACATTTTGTATCTTTTCATCATGATAGGAAGAACATATAACCTGGAAAGAAAACCTTATCTTCCAGAAACACTTTTTTTTTTTTTTCCACAAGAAGTGGAAAAAGATTTTGTGTGATTCTCTGGATTAACCTGTCACTTGATATGTTTAAGCAGAGTAGCTCATATCTGTAATGTTGAAAATGGAGCTATTTCTCCTTCGTGATATCCCTGCAGATGTCTTTAGCTGTAGAATTTTCCTGATTATAATATCAAAAGCTCCCCTCCCTCCCTCGGTCCCTCTCTCTCCCCTCAATTCAGCCTTCACATTCATTTATTATTGAAGTTGCCCATTACTGAAATGCCATCTATTTTAGTAACTAACTAAAACTGTGCTTGTGTTTTTGATGTTTCTGTGAGAGGAGGGCTCCTCTTTGGAAAGGCAATGGTAAGAAGGATTTGAAGCCAAAGCACAGTGAAAAGTGTGGGGAGCCTAGATCATGAACAAAAATGTAAGGAGTTAGTTTTAGAGATGAAACCTACATAGCTTTCTCTACTTAATGTTTAACATGAATTAAGCTATTCAGTCTTGTTTCCCAAGGGTAAAATTTTAGGGTTACAGCACTTGTGATGATTTTCTAGCAATTGTTAAATTACGCAAGTAGCTAATGCAGTGTTCTTTATATACTGTTTTCATCCTCATTTCTTGTATAATGAAGACAGTAGCCACACATTTTGTCCTTTTTTGCTACTGATATTCAGCTATCAAGCGCTCTAGGAGTGAGCCATGCTGCTGTGAGACTGTAGAGGGCACCCTGTGATTAATTTTATTTCCTTTTTCTTCCTTTTTTTTTTTTTTTTTTTTTTTTTTTTTTTTTTCTTTTTTTTTTTTTTTTTTTTTTTTTTGACTCCGTTTCTCTCTGTAATAGCAAAGCTTAATAATTCAAGCAGAGCAGTGACATATTTCTTCAGGGAAACAAATCCCATTTTCTTTTGGTGGCCAAGATGCAAAGTAAGATTGGTTGGTGATTGATGTAGTTGGGTGTGAATTGCATTTTTAGTGCTGCATTTAAATACCAGCTTAAGTGGCCAGCACATGTTTTTTGTTACACTTTCTGCTTGAATTGCAGCGCCTTGAGGTATGTT